CATGTTCCAGCAGAGTACAAGTAAGCAAAATAAGCATAAAATCAGCATAAAACCCTGATGGTTATATTCTTTTGAATGAGATTCTTCTAATTAACTCATTTTTGTCTTGCTATAGCCATGTCCAGTTACTTATACATCGTCAAGTCAGAGTTCCCACTGGTCCTGCGGGCTTTTTTGAAAACAGATACCAGTTCAGGGTAAGTACTCTAGAGTGTCATTGTAAAATGCTGAAATGAAATGAGAGAATCTCGAACTTCCCTCAACATTCCATTTTGCCAGTTAAATGTGAATGAATTGACTATTATGCGCTGACTCTGAAGCCGCTGGTATGGACATGTACTGTCATTATCAGCTGACGATGTCACCATTGAGGTCGTCCACCAGGGCAAACACTCAAACATTTCAACCTGGCATCTGGGGGAGGCTGTGGTAGGGTCTGTGAACTGTGATTGGCCAGTTAATAAGAGAATGGCAGCTGATTGGCTGATACCATGTCTTTCCCACCACACCTCTGTCCTTCAGCGCTTGACAGCTGCTTTAAACAAGCGTATCGTCATGGCGATGTCAGTGGACACAACTCGTTTCTTACGTCTGAAAACATATGCTGGGTTATAACTTTACTCAGCTGCTTAGGTTGCAGGTTAGATCCTAGTTTAGCATGTTTTATCAGGTTTAAAAATTAAACAGACCCATCGTGGTGTGTTTGTAAGAAGCAAACAAATGCAGTAACAAGAGATGTGATCTAGAACTGTTATTATATTATATGCACAACAAAGCCACAATTTTATTTTAAAGCCCCTGAAGTCATTAAAGGTTAACCATCAAAATCTTCTGTCTGCTGTATTTCAAAATACCTGGATTAGTATGAAGGTTTTTCTAATTAACAGAGTGAAAGTGTTGATGGGTAAGGTGATTTATTTATATGACGACTGTAATACTCACACAGGCTTTGGCTCCTGAGACTTCTCAGTACTGGATTGAATAGGTCAGCGTATGTTAGAAATTGTGAAAAGATGGAGGCGTGTGCTTCAGTTTTAACATTATGCATTGACTGAGAGCTTTTGTATAATTTTAGGACCAGGTGCAACTTTAAGTGATGCTTCTATACACACACACACACACACACACACACACACACACTGGTATTCCTATCATTATGGGGATATACCCTAACCCTACCTCTAAACCTACACCTCACATTAAACTTTTTGCATTTTTAGATTTTCAAACATCTTCATTCTGTATAATTTATTAGCAGTTTTCCTCAAAAATGAAAAATGTCCACACATTTGGTCCCCATAACATAGGGAATACCAGGTACACACTCTCTCTCTCTCTCTCTCTCTCTCTC